CTTGTCTCTTGTTCTTCTTCAGTATATAGTCAACAGTAGAGTAGTCCATGTCGCCGATTACGAGGCCCCTGATGATCCTGGTTGGCGGCCAGGTGGAACCAGTAAGGCTATACGCCATGTCGCACTTCAGGTTACATTTTAATTCATAGTCGTGTTCGGGGCATGGGTCGTCTCTCTACTGGTTTCTTACTCTCCTCTTCAATTGTCTTTTCTTCGTCACTTTCCCTATCTTTTTCTTGTCTCTTCTTCGTGACTTTCCCTATCTTCTTCCCTGTCTTGTCTGTTGTGTCGACTCTCTGTTCTGTGTCAGTATTGATTGCTGCTAAATTGTCGTAGCTTGTGCTCGACATACTTTTACGCACGAAGGAACCGACGTAGGAATTGCACTACTATCGTGTGACTTCGCAGTCCGATGGCTAGCAATGATCACAATGGTGATACAAGGTCTTGTTACAATTGTGGCCAACGTGGCCACATCTCCCGCTTCTGTCCTTATCCAGATCGTCGTTTGAATGGTCAGAATTTCAATACCTCTTCTTACTTTACCTGCAAGTGGAGGTTCCACTGTGGGTACCGTCGCTCCTAGTTATGGTGGTCAAACTGGGGGTAGTGGTTGGCTTGGTAAACGAGTATACTCATTGGAGGAGAAAGTTGCCAAGATTTACCAGAAGCACGAGGCCGACGAGGCCAGGGAGAAGGCGGCACGTGAAGCTGAAGAACGTACAAAGAGAGAAAAAGACGCGGAAGAAAGACGGGTGCGCAAGAAAAATGAACGAGAGGATTTTCAGAAATCGATGAAGAAAAAATTGTCAGAGAGTCTAGATAAGGTGTACAAGGCGATCGATGGGAAGAAGAGTACTGAAGGTGACAAGATGGGGAAGTTGAAAGCTACTATTCATGATATGCAGCGGCGACTTCATGTTACAGGTACTTCTTCGGATACGGTGGCTCAGGTTTCGGAAGTTGATGAACTCTCTTGGTTGCGACGAGAGCAGGTGGAGATGAAGATTGCAGCAGATAAACGACTGTCTTCGTTGGAGGATGTGGTGTTGGCCTTACAAAGGCAGCGTGAAGATGCCAAGGCTAATGCGGAGAAATGGAAGTCGGAGGCTCTCCGTCCTAGTAATAAACGGGGGAGCATCGCGATTGAACCTACTCCTACCACGAATGCGAAGTGGTGGGCACGAACCACACCTTTGGGTACTCCAAAGAGGCACATAGAAGCGGATTTGAAAGGGATCGTCGAACGTCATCATATGGAAGTGGAGGCGCTGCAGGCTCTGCGCATCAGCGAAATGAATGCTCGGAAGGAATCAGAGGCGGAGATTGATAGGCTAAAAGAATCGTTGGTTCGTTTGAAAATGGTGCAGCGAACGGGGACACGGGGGACGGATTTGAAGTCAAAGTTAGACGAAGCAGCAGGGAAGAACGATAACGCGGTGAATGAACCAGCATCTTCTGCGCGTAAGGGCAAGAAGAAAGCAGTGTCCTGGTCGGTTTCAAAAACTGTGGATAAAGATGTCTTTGTTCTAGCTAACCGACGGAATCTCCGTGGGAAGAACAAGGATGCCATCATGACGATTTGCAAAAACGAAGGAGTGGTTTATACGACGTTGGAAGGCACAAAGGAGGCCATTGTCCAAGCAAGGATGGCAAAAACATTCAATGGCGATGGAGGAAAGAATAATAAAGGTAAGGCGAGTGTACCTGTGGAGGTGTCGGAGGATGGGGATGAGTCATCTGTCAAGACAACTCATGATGATCTGACTTTGTCTTAGTATCCCTCCCGAGCACGGCTTACCTTTGGGATTTGGCTCGATTATGTTGTAGATCTCGTTCCCTGTCTATTGACTGCCTTAAGAATAGTGAGTGGTCCAAGCTTCTATGCCTTGCTGTATGTGGCTTAATTCTAGCTGGTGAAGTGGTGGGGGGGCGTGAGTTTAGTGAATTTTTTCTTTCGTCTACCCTGGGATGCGAGCATAGGTCTGAGTTATGGGATGGTCCGGTTGTGTATGGACTGATTTCGCCGTGGTCTCGTCATGTTTATATCGGAAGTACTGGTAGAGATGTCCACACAAGGTGGAAAGAACATGTGTATCGTACTTGTCAGTCGACGACGGTTGAAGGGTGTCAACGTAATGAAAAGTTGTATAGATCATTGCGGAGGTGTGGAGCTCATACTTACGTAATTGTCCCGTTGTGTCGATGTGATTATGATGACTTGCATTAAACGGAGAAGTATTTTATTAGTCTCTTTTTGCCGTTTTTAAATTCCCGTGATAAACCTAAACGGTCGAAGAGGAAGAGACATGGGCTCAGGGAGAGACTAAGAAGGAAAGCAAAGAATGGGACGGTTGTCACATCTGGGGTTTCGGAGAAGAAGGCGACGGGATCTTTAGTTACGTTTCACTCCAATGTGGGAGTTATGTCATTGAGTTTGCTGAAAGCTTTGGATTTTTGTCGTGTTAACCTTATTCACAAAGTTGTGATCGTTTCTGTTGGAGGCGCAAGAGTGATTGACCGATGGAAGATTGTTAAAAGGTTGTACGGAGGTAGTATCTTGTCATGCACGTTTGGACGAGGAGATTTGAGGCAGTCTAAAGGTTGGTTGAGAAGAAGCAACACGTTGACCTTTGAACAAGTTATTCCTTTTTTGAGCAGGTCATTGGCATTCAAGGCTCCGTTGGCTGAGTTCTTGAGCAATCCTGGGAGTCAACGGTTGATGAAACTGTGGGATTTGGATCAGTTGATTGCTGAGTATACTGTTGTGAGAACTTTTCGGGAAAAGCGAACCCGATTCTGATTGCGTTGTTTACTATCTCAAGCTATACTCTCGAGATTTGGTCTGCATGTGAGAAAGAGATTAGTCTGTCGGGTGGTTTTCTCTGAATCTGTGTCTAAGGCCAAGGTTAGGCAAGCATGTTTTATTGTTATTTCTTCCTTGACTATTCCGAGAGGATGGAAGGAGATGCTCGTGATATGTATGCGTATTGTCTGGTGTCGGAATCGCAATGTTGGTGACTTCATCCACAACTTCCGTAAGCATTCTAAGAATAATGAGGCTGTGTGCACTTGTTCTAGCTGTGACTTGTCTTTTCCAAGGATTAATGGACATGCGAGTTTTCGCCTCAACGAATCTGCGGGGTTTCCTCAGTGGCTAAAGAATTCGAAGAATGTACTTCGACCCTCTAGTCGTCGTATGTTTTCTACTTTACGGACTCAAATTCTCTCTACTTTCTCTTATCATCCGTCTATTCCGAAGTTTGACCATGGCGTGTTGACTAACGAGTTGTTGAGAGACTGCTTCTCTGGTACGTTTTCTACTGTGAAGGCGATCAACGAAGATGATCTGGTTGACTATCTCCCTCCGCTTCGAGATCTCGTGTGTGTTCCTGTTGACCATAATATGGGAGATACTATGGTGTGTTGTCCTTTGACTTACCAGGAAGGAATGTTGAATTTTTTTACTAATAACCCCTCTTTCTCGTTGGTGATTGTGGATGAGAAGACTCTGTTGGAAGATTGTTTTGTTCAATATGGGTTGCAAGGACTAAACAAAGTGAGTAAATGAAAGAAAGTTGGGACTCTTGGGAAGTCGTACTGTATTCCTAAGCATAAAGATACCGCCCGCTGGCGGCCTATTTGTCCATCTTACCCGGAGTGTTCAACCAGAGGAGGAAAAATTGTTTCAAAAGCTGTGAATTGTTTATTATGGAATCTTCCTTCTGAATCTAACTTTAATCTGCAGAGTGCGGATGGGCTTCTGAAATGCATCAGATCTATTAATAAGGGGTTGGAGAAAGGAGATTATTTGATCGGGGCTTCATTTGATGTTTAAGAGATGTTTTCAAATTTACCTCATCGATCAATTATTGAGGCTCTGTGTTGGGCAATTGACTATTGGGCTGACAAAGGTGTTCGGGGTGTTGCGGTTAGGAAGCAGGGGAAAAGAGCAACGTTGCTGAGGGGTAAGCTGAACTTGGGTGGAAGTCTATTGAGCTGGATGCAATTCTGACTTTCGTGAGGTTTGAGTTGGATCACACTTTTATTTCGGCATCTGGAAGGATAATTCAACAAACTGTGGGGATCCCGATGGGGAAATCTTCGAGTCCTGCACTTGCGTGTCTTCTTTGTGCATACAACGAATTTACTTTTTTGGCTAGTCTCGGTGTCGACACAATTTTTTTTCTGGGTTTTCGTCTTGTGGACGATGTTTTTGTATTTGTGGTTATCAAGGGAACGCATGGTATGACGCGGGCTAAAGCCGAATTGATGATTGAGTCATTCAAGGGTTGTTATGATGATAATCATGTTTTGGAAAGAACCAATGGGAGCAATGTATGGACTTATCTTGGATGTATATTGGGTGTTCGTGATGGCGATTCTGGGATTTTTTGTCTTCCCACGATTAAAAATTTGATGAATGGGGGAAGGGATAAATTGGTGTTCCAAAGTATACAAGACTTCTCATCGTATTCTAGTCGGCAACAGAAGTCGGCAGTTATATGCTCTTTCTGCACCGGACGAGGTTGTACTCCATGAATGAAGGTTTGGCTCTCCCTCTTCTACTTTCCCTAAAGTTTGAGCTGTGTATGCGAGGTTACCCGGACGAGGTTTTTGACAGATATTTGCTGCATTTTTCATGGAAGTATGAAGGACTTTGGAAGAACTGGCTTCCCTTGTTGACCAGATGGGGTCGGTTTTCGGGGTTTGATGGTTGTTCCGGTCTCTCGGTTTAGAGAGATGTGGTGAAGTTTTGTTCTCTATGTGTGTTGTTGTTTCTTCCTCTCATTTTAGAGCGGCATGAATAGTGGGGGGTTATGATATTTTGTTGATGAGGGGTATTATGAGGATTTACCCCCATGTCTGGTATGTGTCAGTTGAAGTTTCGAACTGTGGACAGTTGGGTTAATAAGGGTTAATTTTTTTGCATGGTATGTGTCAGATTGTGTTTCGAACCGTGGTCGGTTGTGCTAATAAAGGGTAAGCTTTGTACTGGCGATCTCGTTACTGGAGAATTGACCCTTGAATTAGGCATGTGTTTGTCGAGTTTTGAACTGTTATCGATCATGCGTATACGTGGTGTTCTTTGTATAGAAGGCCTTTGTGAGGTTTCGGAACCGGTGTGTTGTAACTGTGGTCTTGAACTCGGTACTTGGGTTTTTATAAGAGACATAAGGTTTGTTTTCCGCCAAAGTAGAAGGTTTGGAATAAGATCTGTTTTTTCGGGTTGATGAACTTCGTTTCGGGTCTACTTTTTAGTGCACGAGTCGTGGTGTTTGATAAACATATTTTCTTAGTATTGGCTTATGTGTTACGATTTTTTTCTAGGGGCTTCCTATGTACTTGTCGCGAATTCAGGGTAGAATACATTTTCTTTTTTAGTCCTAGGCTTGGGTCGGGTTTTTCGATGTGCGAGCTCGACGTGATGATGGACGGTGGCTTTTTGGTAGACGTAGCAATTGTGGTGCTTCTTTTGGACTTGTCTCTTGTTCTTCTTCAGTATATAGTCAACAGTAGAGTAGTCCATGTCGCCGATTACGAGGCCCCTGATGATCCTGGTTGGCGGCCAGGTGAAACCGGTAGGGCTATACGCCATGTCGCACTTCAAGTTACATTTTAATTCATAGTCGTGTTCGTTGCATGGGTCGTCTCTCTACTGGTTTTTTACTCTCCTCTTCCATTATCTTTTCTTCGTCACTTTCCCTATCTTTTTCTTGTCTCTTCTTCGTCACTTTCCCTATCTTCTTCCCTGTCTTGTCTGCTGTTTCGACTCTCTATTCTGTGTCAGTACTGATTGCTGCTAAATTGTCGTAGCTTGTGCTCGACATACACTCTGACAGCCTAGGTGTATAGCGAATATGACAACACACAAACACCGGGCCTCGCTGCTCTACGCTAGACACATAAAAATTTTCAAGAGTTCGTCTAGCGCTCTCGGACTCCTGGATTGGCATCAAGTGCTGTCGTCGCTGCACTTACTCCGGACTCGTTTGAAAAAAATGCTCCTGCAGGGGGGAACTGTGGAAACTTCAAGAGCTCATCCGATGGGCCATTTCTGACACCTTTTGAAGCGCATGACCAAGAGCAGTTTTCCACTGTCAGTGCAACGATGACTCACTCTCAATGTTTTCGAGAGTGAATCTGACATCTCTTGAATAGAATTCCAGAACACGGCATCAAGAGTTAGGGCAGGGGTGATGAACTCTTAATTTTTCAAGATTCAAGAGTCGTGCAGCGAGGCCCACTCTCTCACCCACGCGGGGCAAATGTCAATTTTTTTTATTTTTATTTTTTTTTTATTGATTGATTGATTGATTGATTGATTGGTTGGTTGATTTATTGTGGGGGGGTCGCGCCCCCCCCCCAACGAATACACACATACACACAACATACACAAATAGACACACACACACACATACACACACACACACACACATACACACACACACACACACACTTACCGGTGGGACGAGTGGCCGATACAGGATGAGGCGACAAAGTGTGTGTGGCTATGACCCGCATATCAACTGGGGGGTCGCGATTACAGGGCACGTCGATGACGACCTTCAAGTTGCCATTCACGAAGTTTAACCAAGCGAGAATGGCAGACCTCGCCAGCAGGAAAACGTTCGAATGTTCGAATGCTGGCGGGGGATGCCATTCGCCCAGGGCTAAGTTGGTTGAGAGAATAAGTGGAATTCACGAGGTCATGGATTCGCTTTAGGGATGCTTTCTATTTTCTATCAAATCTTGTTTTTTTCGGTCATTCTTAAGCAGCACCAGAAGAAAAAAAAAAATGGTACCGT